ATAGTCACATAACTGGTCTTCCTTGTTGTTGTTGTTAAGTGCTGTGGAGTCCGTTCCGACTCATAGCAACCCTGTAGAGGGTTTCTGAGGCTGTAAATCTTTACGGGAATAGAAAGCCTCATCTTTCTACCGTGCAATAGCTGGTAGTTTCAAACTGCTGACCCTGAGGTTAACGGCCCAATTTGTAACCACTACACTATCCTTGTAGGTATATATATATATATATATTATCCTATGATGGAGAGCATTGTACTTCAGGATAGATCTTGAAATGTTCTTTTTGATGATGGAGGTGATGCCATTCCTCTTCAATTTGTCGCTCGCAGCATAGTTTGTCCAATTTTAAACGGCCAATACCAGTCCATTTCACTAATGCCTAGGATATTGATCTTTATGCATTTCATTTAATTTTTTTTTTACAACTTCCAATTTTCCTAGTTCCAATTATCAATGGATATTTGCAGCTTTTCTTCCCATTGTGAATCCATGCTTTAGTAAATGAAATTACTGGACAGCAAAAAAGATGAATTTGTTAATTCATTTAGCTCCACTTTCAGGAGGTTAGTATCATCCTAATCTTGCACCATACTCCTTACCCATTGTTGCTGAGTCAGTTCAAGCTCACAGCTTATGACAGGATAGAACTTGTCCCAAAACAAGATATACAAAACAAAGAAGCGATAAGGCCTTGCTATCTGTCTCCTTCTCAAGCAATGGTTCCAATTGCCCCCTTCCCTGGTGTTCCCTGAATTTCCAACTGGGAGTCACCTTATTTTCTTCCCTGACCCGCCACCAACAAACATACAACCACCTGCCACGGATCGCCACAGACTTTGCACACTGTATTCAAATGTGTCACGAGCCGAGGGCCAGTTCCTGCAAGGTCCTAGCGCTCCGTCCTTGATTCCCGGACCACTTCCTTCCAGAGCAAGCCTCCGCTGCCACAGTTAACCCTTCTCCGCCAATTCTGGACGCAGACCCAGTCGGTCTCCGGCCTTAGTCCTCCCTTGCCCAGGTTTTCCTTAACTTACCAGGTCTCCGCCCCCCATGACAGTGGAGACGTTTCTTCACAACGCGCGGAGCCAAAAGAATCAGGAACGATGGACGGATACTGTTGAGAATAATTCAGGAGCGACTTTCCCGATTCCAATCTTAGAGGCCACCGGCTGCTACTTTCACCTACCGATCTAGAGACCACTTCCGGGGCGCGTCATATTTCCACGTCGGTGTCGCGGAACGATGACGTTTATGCGTTGTCGCGATATGTGACGGTTGTTGTTAAAGTACCGTGGAGTCGATTCCGACTCATAGTGAACCTGCGATGGGTTTCCGAGGCTGTGAATCTTTACGGGAGCGGAACGCCTCATATTTCTCCCGCGGATAGTTTCGAAGTACGCCCAACTCGTAACCACTACGCTACCAGAGCTCCTTTGTCACGTATTTCCGCAAAGTTTGAGGGCGCGTGGTTGCGATGTCTGTAGTCACATTTTGGCGTGCTTCTGTCTGTATCTCAGTTTAAACGCCATGGCTCTGTTCAGCTACTGTTATGTTGGGGCTTTCCCAGCGGTTCTGTTGTCATGAACCCATGGTGTCTTCGGAGCTCTGCCCCGCATCTCCGGGACTAGGCACCAGTGTGGACAAGCCCTGGCCTTCTGTCCCCTGTAATGTTCAGCATTCTCACACCCTAGTTCTCCAAAGCAACTTTTCAAGCCTGTGCTCTCCTTAAACCTCAGATCTACTTTACAAAGGATCCATCAGACCAAAATTCCATTAGCTTTCGTTCACTATACCTGCAGAACCTCATTTCCTATTCTTTCTTTTACAGTGGAAGGAAGAGGTACCTCTCCTAACACCCCATGACTCATCTTTGCTCTAGATCCCATCGCTCATATTCTCAGAGATCACACTGTTGCCCCATTCCTCCCTCTCCTGTATTTTCAGTCTTCCTACATAATGACTCTCAATAGCATTTTAAACGTTCTCAATTTATCCTGATATGGTGCTGTAAGATAAACACTGAACTGCTAACCACAAGGTCAGCGGTTCAAACCCATAAGCTGCTCCTTGGAAACCCTATAGAGGGGTTGCTGTAAGTCGGAACCGACTCCATGTCGCTTAACAAGAACAATTTATCCTTAAAACAAATAAACGAAAACTCATGTCCTTCCCCTGGTTACTGTCCTATCTCCTTAACCAAACTTAACCAAGCCAAACCAAATGATCTACACTTAGGGCCTACTTCCTCTTCATTCTTCCACCCATAGATTCTCCCCCCTTGACCATCAATAATTCCTTGTATTTAAATCCAAATATGTTAAAAATAAATTT